CGAGTCGGTCCGGTGCCAGTCGCCGTGGTCGGCAGGTTACTGGTGGGCCGGGTACAGTCCTGATGTGGTGGACGGTGTTGTGTCGTATCTCGCGCTGGACTCCAGCTGGGCGGGTCAGGTCTGGGAATTCTGTGAGGAGGCTGTCGATCGGTGTGGTGCTGCTGATTGTCTTTACACTGGGGATCAGTGCGTCGGCCGCTGATGCCGGGGTTGACAGTGTCGTGACCCCGTCCAGGATGCGGTTGTTCCGACAGTCCACCAGGAGACCGAAATGCGACAGGAAGTCCACGCCGATCATAGGATGCGCGACGTCGGCCACCACGAAGCGCCACGTTAATTCTCGGCGTAGGCCCAAGTTTAGGCTGAGAGGCAGCCATCCGTAGGTGTGGATGGTGGTGCCATTAGCCGCACACAGGTCATAGGTGGTACGTTCCATGCGTCGATGGACGAGCCTGCGGGGATATACACAGTGGTCCGAACCCGTGTCGACTAGGAACTGCCGTTTGCTGACTCTGTCTGCTATGAAGAGGCGGCCTGTTGTACCGCAGACATGTGCCGCCGATGATGTCCGCTGCGTCAGTTTCCCTGCTGGCGGTAGGAGCAGGGCGGAGTACAGTTTCGTGCCCGAGCGCCGAAACGGAGGTGGTACCAGCAGATACTGGATGTGGCGTCGCCCCGGGAGGGGGATCTGCTGCCGGGCCGGCGGTTGTTGACGGCGGGGCGGGAGCCCTTGGGACTGGATCCTCTGTTTTCCGTTTTGTTGTCGGACTCCCTGAAGCGGGGGTGGCGGCGGCCCTGTTCGGTCCTGAGTGCAGCCACTTGGCGGGAGAGTTCAGCGATCACCTGCCGAAGTGCGCCAATGTCCGTGGGTCCATCAACGCTAGCGAGCGCTGGCCGGACTTCGACCTCGGAGATGCGGTCTGCACAGAGGGCTGCGGCCTCCAAGTTGCTCTCGTTCTGGCCGGCGAAGAAGCTCTGCACGTTGCGGGGTAGCCGGCAGGTCCAGACGCTTCGGATGACGTTATCAGACACCTCTGGTACGAGACTTTTGAGGTACCTCAGGAACTGGGACGGCTTACGGTCGCCAATTTCCTCGACCGTGAGGAGTTGCCGGATTCGCTGCTCTGGTGATGGGATAGCCGCCTCACAAGCTCGGTCCTCAGTAGGGTGTAGGTGCCTTGTTCGGGTGGAGAGGTGATAATGTCCACTACTTCCGATGCGTAACGTTGGTCCAACTGCGAGATCACGTAGCAGAACTTCGTTAGCTCGCTACTGATACCGGCCAAAGTGAACTGTGCTTCGGCTTCAGCGAACCAAAATACTGGTCTGTCGGCCCAGAACGGCGAAGCCGCACAGCAATTCTTGGAGTCTCTGTTGGTACTGGTCTGCTAGTAATACCAGCATCATGCTGTTTTACTTCCATGTGTGTTACGTACTGTTGCAGGAGGTCTTCTATTCGACCACTGTCCATTATTTGTGTTGTATCACGTCGGGGTCACCAATGTGGGATGTCGTATGAATGAGACAGCCACTAGTTGAACTCTCCTATATGATTAATAGCAGCTGCACAGTATACACAGATGGATAATAACAATAGTGAACTGCTTGAACACTGAACTGGTGTTGTAGAACGGTAGAACTAGACTGTCACTCTAACTCAGTGTATCTTCTTATGTAGCCTGGAGTCGGACATATAGAAAACGGTTCCGTAATAGGTACTGCTGTTGCCAGATACCGTGTGTACAAGTTCCCTAGCAACCGTTGTTTACTCGCTTTTGCCTAGCAACCGTTGTTTACTCGTTGTTGCCAAGCAATGACGCTTGAGTTGTCACACTTGCTTGAATGTGGGCAGTTCCCATAATACTTTTATCTCTCAAGTATCTATAAAGCTGAATGTTTTCCACAATCTGGCGCTAGTCATTATATAATTCAAAGTAAATTGTCAGCTTTTGTCCTGCTGCAGTAACTTACTAGCACATCATCATCATCATCAGTAATCTGTCAGACGACAGGTCCACAGTCTCTTCCAAAATAATTCCTCCACTTAATGCGATCTAGAGCTTTCTCCTTCAAGTGACAGTATCCTCTTATATCCCCAAGATCATCCAGCATCTTCTTACGTCTTCTTCCTCGTCTTCTTGTCACTTCTATCCGCCCCTCTATCTTTCCTTCGATAACTTCTTTTAGAAGGCAATTTCTGCGTAAAACATGACCAATCCAATTAGCCTTCCGTTTTCTTATTTCATGTAGGATATTCCTCTGCTCACTGACTCTAATTAACACTTCTTCATTTCTCACATAATCGGTCCAACTGATCTTCTCCATTCTTCTCCAACACCACATTTCGAAACTTTCCAGATGTTTCTGATCTACTGCCCTAAGTGTCCATGTTTCAGCCCCATACAGAGCTATGCTCCAAATGTAGCATTTCACTAGTTTCTTCCTCAAATTTAAGTCCAATTTGCTGGTAAAAAGATTCTTCTTCTTGCTAAATGCAGCTTTTGCCATGGCAATCCTGGATTTAATTTCACAAGTACACCTTCCATCATCTGTTAACAAGCTACCCAAATATTTAAAACATTTCACATTCTCCACTTGTTTTTGGTCTATCTTTATTGTGACTGGGGTTGGTTGTCTCGAAATTTTCATTACTTTTGTTTTCTCCACATTCATTTCCATGCCATAGCACCTTCCAATTTCAATTAGTCTATCAATCATGCCCTGTAGCACAGTTTCTTCCTTAGCCATTAACACAAGGTCATCTGCATATTTCACAGTTTGAATAATTTGCCCTCCTACTTTGAAGTCACCGAGCCCATCCAGAGCTTCCTTGGTAAGGCATTCGCTGTACAAGTTGAACAGAATTGGTGATAAACAGCATCCTTGTCGAACTCCTCTTCCAATCTGCACACTTCCTGTCTCCCCCCTGTCCAGTCGTACTCTAACTTTCTGATCCATGTACAATTTGCTAATCAATCTTCTTTCATGCCAATCGATACCTGTTTCTTTCAGGATCTGCATTAATTTGGTCCAGTTTACCCGGTCAAATGCCTTCTGCCAGTCTATGAAGCAAACACACAGTTCTTCATCTATCTCCAAAGTTCATTCTGCTATAATTCTCATCATCCCAATTGCATCCCTGGTTCCTTTTCCTCTTCTAAATCCAAACTGATCCTCTCCAAGTATATCCTCTATTTTCCTTTCAATTCTTCTTTTAAGTATCTTTGCTATTATCTTTGCTGTATGTGCAATAAGACTTATTGTGCGATGGTCGCTGCATTTTGTAGCTTTTGTCTTTTTCTTTAAGGCAATCATTGTAACTTCTGTAAAGTCCTTGGGCCACTCTCCACTTTCATATATGGTGTTCATTAGTTTTGTCAGTGTTTTCAAACCACCTTCTCCCAGTAACTTGAGCACATCTCCAGGTACATGATCATCTCCTGTAGCTTTCCATTCCTCATTTCCCTGATAGCTTTTTCCACCCCACTTTGTAAAATATATGGTCCTTTCTCGTCTGTATCTATGTCATCTTCCGGTTCCACTTCAAGGTTTCTGGCCGATTAGGTCGATCATATAGTTCTGTAATATAATTGTCCCAAATTTTCAGCACTTGCCTGTGATCTGCTACTCTATTCCCCTGGGAGTCTTCGATGCCAATATTTTGAATCCCATGGATCTCTTTCATCCTAGTTCTTTTGTCTTCATGTACATCAAATCATAAAATCCTGTCCTTAGTAATTCTACAATCTCATTACATATCTCCTAAAGATATTCCTTTTTGGCCGTGTCTGTAGCTCTTTTCAATTCATTCCTCAGTCTCCTGTATTTCCTCCTGAATTCTTCATTGTTTACATTCTTCCATTTCCTTCGCTCCTCCATTTTACTCATCATCTCCTGTGTAACCCATGGTTTTCTTGCTATCTTCTCAACTTTACCAACAAATGCACTAATAGTATCTAACATGCATTCTTTTATATTGTTCCATTGCACTTCAGCATTTCCGCTTTCCCCTTCAATTGCACCCAGGTTCTCTTCTAGGGTCTCCTGCACGCTTTGTCTTTGAGCATACAATTTCTCCAAATCCCATCTAGGTCTGCGCTTTTCAAATCTTATAATTTTCTTCAACCTTGTTCGGAACATGGCAACTAGTAAGTTGTGGTCAGAGTCAATATCTGCCCTACGCAGCGTCTTCACATCCTTCACACTGTTTCTGAATCGAAGTTTCACAAGGATGTAGTCCAGCTGATGCCTCCTTCAATCCCCAGGTGCCTTCCATGTGTAAATTCTTCTCTTTGGCTTCTTGAACCAGGTGTTGGTGAGAATCAGTCCATGTCGTTCACAAAAGTCAATAAGGATTTCAGCCCTGTGATTCCGTCTTCCTAGTCCATGTGATCCAACAATATTCTGATATGGTTCATCTCCAACAATGCTAGTCCGGTATCCCAATATGATGCTGTGTCACCTTTTCCATCTTCCTGAAGAATTTCTTGAATTGTGTCATACACCTTTTTCCACTTCATCATCTTCATACTCTGATGTTGGCATGTACACTTGCAAAATCAGTATATCTACCGGTTCGGCCTTTAACTTCAGAGCAATGATTCTGTCATTACAAACAATCTTCTTAACAAACACTCCTCACTACACTTTTATGCACCACTATTGCCACAACTCTTTCAGCCCGTTCATCTCCGGAATAATACACTGTATAATCACCACTTCTTATTTCACCTTGTCCTCTACACCGCACTTCGCTGACACCTAGAAGAGACACCTCATTCTTCTGCATTTCCATTTTATTAACACATAACCATAATTATAAAAAGAAATAGTATTCGTATTAAATAAGAAAAGGGATACATAAATGCGAGGATTCTGTAAGCACGGAGTATGTTCGGATGCATTCACCTTGAAACAGATCCTGAGACAAATATTGTGACGTTTCAGGGAACCCATTCCCCAAGGAACTGTGGAGGTGTCTTCATATTGATGACTATTCTCCTGTCCGGGTGTACCGCACAACCTGAAGAATACGACTTCATCATCGTGGGAGGTGGGGCAGCGGGGTGCCTACTGGCTGACCGACTGTCCGAAGTCAGCGAGTGGAATGTGCTCCTGATAGAAGCAGGTGGCGAAGAGAACTTTCTGCAGGACATCCCCGCGTTAGCGTCACTGTCCTATTACACACCGGCAAACTGGGGTTACAAGACAGAGAAGTCTTCCACGGCGTGTCTCGGCCTAATAGATGGCCGGTGTAACTGGCCACGTGGCAAAGTCCTAGGTGGCACTACTGTTCTCAATTACATGGTGTACACCAGAGGCAACCGAAAGGATTACGACGGTTGGAAGACACAAGGATGTGAAGGTTGGGGATATGACGACGTCTTACCATATTTCCTCCGGTCTGAAAACATGCGCATTCCCACGTTGGCTAACGACAAGAAATATCACTCCACGGAGGGAGAACTATTTATCACCCGGCCACCATATCACACTCAGATTGCTTCCGACTTCGTTGAAGCAGGTCCTCAAGCTGGCTACAAAGACATTGACTACAATGCCGCAACTCAAATAGGTTTCTCCTTCCTGCAGGCAACCATGAAGAACGGAGAGCGGATGAGTTCGAATCGTGCGTTCTTGAAACCTGCAAGACAGAGGAAGAACCTGCACGTTGTCAATAGGAGCCTCGTCACCAAAATCCTTATTGACCCGCAAAATAAAACGGCTTACGGTGTAGAATATAAATATCTTGGGATATTTAAGACGGAAGCTGTTGCCAGAAAGGAAGTGATTCTGTCTGCAGGAGCCATAAACTCTCCACAGCTTTTAATGCTGTCAGGGATCGGCCCTAAAGAACATCTGCAGAAAGTGGGGGTTCCTGTGATACAGGACCTAAGAGTTGGCTTCAACCTACAGGATCACATTTCACTTGGAACTCTTTTCTTCACTGCAAACTCCTCGGTCACTGCGAGATTTGACAATATTCCTGGTGATGCTGTCAGTCTTCTTCAATACCTCTTCACCAGGAATGGGACACTTACAATGCCAGGAGCCATTGAAGCACTAGCCTTCCTGGATATAGATGACAGCGACGGTCTTCCAGAGATAGAATTAATTTTTGCAGGAACTACTGTGGCATCACTTTTGCCTGTTTGGTTTGCCTGGGGCGGAAAACTTGAAATATATGCCCCTTACATGTCTTTAGCAATTCAAAATGCTTTCAGCATATTTCCCATTCTTCTGCACCCTAAGAGTCGCGGCTGGTTGACCCTCAAGGACAAAAACCCCGAAACGAAACCTCTTTTGTACCACAATTATCTGACTGAAAAGCAGGATGTGGAAATCCTCGTAAAGGGAATCAAACGAGCTATCCAACTAATCGACACCGAAGCCTTTCAGAGGCATGGTGTAAAACTGTACACGGTGCCGCTACCCCCGTGCAAGAGTCACGAGTTCGGCTCTGATGCATACTGGGAATGTTCGATAAGATATATGACGTTCACCGTGTGGCACCAATGTGGAACATGCAAAATGGGCCCTGACTCCGACCCCGATGCCGTCGTGGATCCTCAGTTAAAGGTGCGAGGAATTCGGCACCTCCGCGTCGTGGACACTTCCATCATACCCGTCATTCCGGCGGCTCACTTGACTGCTCCAGCTTACATGATTGCTGAAAAAGCAGCTGATATGATCAAGCAGGAATGGAAGGCTAACGCATGAATTCCAAATACTGACAGTTCAGCGAGGAAGGCAACTAAATAATATTCTGAAAATGAAGATGTTTTCCTACGTTTGTGATCAAGTATTGCCGGTGATGGAGATATTGAGCTGTGCTACAATTTTGGAAATCCTTCCCTATTTGATGCTGCTGACTTTGTGAAGAAACCTCACCGAATTTATTCGCAGTAAAGACATGAAACTTAGCTTTCAAGTTTTTTTCATCATCGTTGATAAACATCATTATTTCGACCATTCTTGGTAAAGTGAATTAAACAAGCATAAATTTTTTGTTAGTTACGTTTGGTGTGGTACTTGCAATGAACATTTTGCTCTTTCCTGTAAATGCACCAAGTCATAATGCAATGGTAAGGTGAATTAAACAAGCATAAATTTTTTGTTAGTTACGTTTGGTGTGGTACTTGCAATGAACACTTTGCTCTTTTCTGTAAATGCACCAAGTCATAATGCAATACCTCAGGTTGCCTACATAACACTTGCTTCATCAACACACAAATATCAGACATGGAACTTCGTATCTAGTTCTGTCAAATATCTGTGGCTCCTGATACAGTAACAAATCTAAGAATGTACAATATTTGTCTGCAATTTCTTCACTTTTGGTTCATGTAACAGATGCTCCTACTTCATCTTCCCGTCGCTGTGACAAAGCAACAGGCGTATCACCATCTAGGGAGTTTTGTATGTTAACCACATGTTTAGTGTCCTTGCTGGTATTTTGGTACATTTGATACTGAGTGTGTACTATGATATATAAGTCTTAATTCATTATATAAACTTCACATAGACTGTATATTCTTATGCAAATAAATGTTTTAATCTGTCCGGCATTAAGAAAGTTTTTTAAAGTTATTATTGAGAAAATAACAATGTAAAACACACACATACATTAACACCCATACGCCGTAAGTAATAAACATGTCATTGAAATATGTTATTAGTCACGTTAATATAGCACATCCAAAAATAAAATAATTGATAATATATAGACACTCGTTCTTGCAGATACACACTTGTCCCTGGGCTGCACGACCGGGCTTTCTACGTAGATCGCTTCTACAACAAATACTTACAAACCACATACATGCCCAGTTTATGCACTGTGGCATTGGAACCTTAGTATTACGTTGGCATACACATTTCTTAACCTCACATAATACATTGTTCAAATTTTTTTATCATTTAAAAATATTTTTAATATTTATAATAATTCCATAATATATTCAACATTTTATAAATCTTATTACATGGTATATTTTTATATTTTGCCTTTTTTTCTTATTTTGTACCTTCTATTTTAAATGTAACATTAAATTGAGGCAAAAGAATATGTTACTATATAATACTACACGTTGCACTGGTATGGATCGATGTCGGTAGTTCAATAACAAAACGTATTCCTATATATACCTGCCTGATAATGTTCTTGTACGGCCTGAAACGTAGCAAGCATAAAAGTCGAATTGTAAAATCTTAAAGCGAGTGAATTTGTTTTGTTAACGGTTAACCTAATTCCCATATATAAATATATATGGAACACAAAACAGGATGCTACCAATGAAGATATTTCATGCGAGTCATGCATTCAGCATACACAAATCTATGAATACGAAATTTAAGTTGTTGAATTGAAAAGCGAATATTTACTTTAATAGAACACGCCTATTTCTATCGCGATAGAAGATAAATCACGTGGAAACATATGCTTTCTTCTGTGTAGAGGCTGAATATATTGTCCCTATGATTTCTAATGTGTGTTTATGAGGAATTTCAGACGTTGTGTCTATGGCAACCTTGGGTCACTGTCTCAAGCCTCCTTTATGCTGAAATATAATGAGACTTTAGAAATATAATAAATCTGTTTCAGATATTCCATTCGCTTTATGAAAACAGATTTTTGGGAGGGGAAAGCAAAAGAGCGACTCCCTTGAGAGAACTGGGTAAACAATGAGAGAGAGTCGGCCTCATGAGATCTGTAAAACAATTCTCTGCAAGTAAAAAACCCGTATCGTTGTGTCAAGAAAAGCAAAGCAGCTGCAGATGAGGCATTATATGTTAGAGGTCGAAGGGTTTCTGGCGAAGAAAAAGTTTTAATTTAAGCATATTTGAGAACAGCACCAAATCTACCCTATGCCTTAAAGTAAATTTGCCCCTGTGCTTAACTAACTAAGCACTATGTGATATGAAGACGTATGGGAGAGGATGTGTAGATCTATGTATGTTCGACCTCAGCACTGGCTGGAAATGAATGGTCAGCTTTACGCTTTGCCGATTAGCCCCCGGGAAATGAACCTCCAGTATCCACTGAATAGTAGCCAGGGTGAACCCCAGAGCCGGTCTGGACGAGGTGGAGAAGAGATAATTCTTGACCCTAACGGGACTCGAACTCCGACTCCTCAGTCTTCCAGTCCGTAGTGAGTCGCTATACCTAATGCGCTATCCAAGTGTTGCATTTGTTAAGACTAAAAGTGAAAATAAATTATTCCAGATTATTTGAAAGAAATGTGAAAGGCAAAGTTATGATTTTTGTTTCCCACACTTAGCAAAGCCGAGAGCAGAGTGTCCGGTAGGGCTATAGTTTTCAATGCATTTTTAGTGTGAGGAACTGTAAAATTTCACTCCAGAAAACATGTTCAGTGTACACAGTTCACTACCATAACATTCAAGAAAGAAGGAAACTGGCAAATCTGACGAAGAAGGAACCCTTCTTACCTCACGTTGCAGTTAATGCTCTAAAAGCAGCATTCTTGCCTTGGTAATGTTTGCGGCAGATCACAAGCACCAGTCACAGAAGTGCATTATGATCCGGGCAACAAGAGAAAAATTTAGATGATTGTACTAGACTTTAAATATATGTTACATCTTCACTAGAAAATAAACTGGTGTTAATGACAGAGTAGCTGTTCTTAACATGCTGAGAATCAAGTCATGGGGGATAAAATGGGCAGGGCATGTAGCACACATGTAGAGAAAATGTATGCATATAGATTCCGGCAAGAGAGCCAGAGGCAAAAGATAGATAGAAAAGACTTGACATAAATGGGAAGATAATCTATATAAATACAAATGTAAATGTTCGTTTGTCTCTGTTCGAAAATCTCCTAAAGTTCTTCACCGATTGCTTTGAAATTTTGACACAACGATGCATTCGAATACGCGAGATTTTTTATGTACCTATTATATAGATGTCACACTCGTGACAGGTAAAAACAAGTAAAAACTTTTCACATGTTCCGAACCCAGCAGTCGTTTCCATAGTAACGCTCGAACAGTTGCATAGGATAAGAGGTTCCGTTGCTTAACAACGGATGAAACCGGAAAGTATACTTCCATGGAAACGCAATAACAGTGGGCCGTTGCCCACATAAGCTTTCCAGCCGCACTATGGCCCTGGGGTCGACTCAGTCTCTAACAGAAATGAGTACCAGGAATTAATTAAATAATTTTCCTGGGGAGTAAAACGTGGCCGGCGCGTAAGTCTGACTACCTTACCGCCATCTTTGAGTCGATTGTCTAGATATTGTGGGAGCCTCAACGTCTCACAATCCTATGGGCCTTCACGGCCTGTTACAGGGATACCTTTACTTTTCTTTTATGAAGAAATTCTCGAACCTCATCTCCCGCCCCTATATTTGATTCAGTATTAAGCTATCGTAGTTTATTCGCTACTTGAAGAATAATGAAGGCAGAGGAAGTCCATCTCCTACGTCAGGATAAACGTCAGTACACTGGCAGAACGAATGGGAACACCTCTAAACACCTCGTCACTATATGCACTTCATTTTAATGCCTATTTACTGACCACTCCCCACGTCACAACATTTTGTCATGCGCACAAGATACTCAGCATAGCCAGTCATCCGGGCTAGGAGGCTCTTGTGAGCATATCTAAATGTTGCATTTGTGTAACATGCAAAGGAGGCTGAGGTTCATACGGAACCGTCATTGAACAATGCCTCAAGAAGAAATTCATCCAGATTCGTCTAGGATTTTCGGAGATGACAAACAGCCATGAGGCAGCATTTATGCCTTCATCAGCACGTGACAATCAGTACTTTCTGTGCCCTGAATTCAATTTCCCTCTGGATATAATGCAATGCAATTAGATCTCACATTACTTAACAACGGGCCTGGACTCTATGTTGCACCCCAGGTGTTTCCTGATTATACAGCAAGTTTGTTACTTTCTTTAACTAATTGAATGCCAAGCCCAAATTCAATGGTTTCTTGCTAGTAAATACATTAGCGCGGGCAATCCCAGAAATGCTTCCTCAAATAATCAGGGAATAACAGTTGCTGGTTGAGTGAAAGCCTATCCTTACATATATAATAAACACGTGTGTCACAAGTGATACCCTCTGTTGACGAGTTTGCTGTACTAACTGATAACCAAGGAGCAGACCTCTACGACTGTATAATTTTAATGCAACGTAGACCAAGGTAATCTAGTCGGTATATGGCTTCCGAAGAACGGATAGGAATTGTGACGAAACAATTGATGGGTTAAATTACTTCTTGCTTTTAAAATAAATAATATTTACAAAGTACAATATATAGGTATATAGAAATGTATTCATTTGTATTAAATTCAAACTTAGCAATTTGTTTACATTTAACACAAAAATATAGGGGTAGATATGTGAAACAGAGAGAAAGTGTTATGATAATTATCACCAAATCGAAGTCAGATTACATATATATATATACATATATATGTAAGAGTGTGTATCAGCAAGCTAACGCAGGTACTCCACACACTCAGGAGACACAAGAAAACACAAGAGAGGGGAATGCTTCCATACTCAATTCATCATTTCATATTACTATTAAACATTAACAGTAACCAATTCGGTCTCAGTGGCGAAATTTTTAGGACTTAAAGACCTCACAGGCTACATAGTACTATAACTGAGTAGGAAAACTTACACTAATGCTTATATATGCTTGATGATGTTCATGTGTGGCCGAAATATATCGTTGACTTTATGCGAAAAATTAAAATCACTAATCCGTGACGGTGTAATGAATAATGTGTATAGATAAAGGAATAGTAAATATCGGAGGAGAAACAGTTACATTCATACTGGCCGAATTTCAGGGTACCGTCTGACACAGACGTGTTAGCTCGCTCAGTGTAGAGTTCCAGCAAAAAGGGGTTGTTGCTCCGAATTTGCACTTTGAACCGTATTTGCAGTTAAATGGAATATTTAAATGAGTGAATGGTCAAAGAAGTAATTATTTATCTTGAATTGTCTCTTTAGTACTGCTGGTTCATATACACAAAAATCCAAATTTATTTAAAATAAACATAACCTTTACATAAGAAATAATACATGACGAAAATAATCAGTTTAACAAATTCTGCATCAATTCAGTTACGAACTCAAAACAAAAGTCCCAATTTAAATATAGACTTAAGTAGTGGCTGAAATCGTGGATTCTGTAGCTGGATCTGGAATTTACAACGTAACAAAGTGAACATGCACCACGGAGTTGCATCGCGAGACGCAGTTGCTCCCCAAAGGACGTACACGGAGTTACATCGCGAGAAACAGTCACTTCTCCAAGGAAGTACACGGAGTCACAACGTGAGACGCTGTTGCTCCTCAAAGGACTTAAAAGGAGTCACATCGGGAGACACAGTCACTTCTCTAACAAAGTATACGGAATCACAACGCGAGACGCAGTTGCTCCCCAAAGGACGTACAAGGAATTACATCGCGAGACGCAGTTGCTCCCCAAAGGACGTACAAGGAGTTACATCGCGAGACGCAGTCACTTCTCCATGTACAATATCAGATCATCAAATATCACGCTAATTTAACTCTAAGGGAAGGTCGTCAAATTTCAGTAAAACTAATTCTACGGGACGGTCATGGTAGCCGAGTGGTATTATATTGTCTTCGCTCGCTTGGAAGCCAGGACCGTGGGTTCGAATCACAAAAAGGCATGGATGTTTCGTATGTGTGTGTTTAATCTATGTTTGTTTAGTCCTTTCTTTAGGTAGACGCCTTATGACGAGCTGACCAGTCGTCCAAGGAATCCTACAGACTGAAAAATGATCAAAATGAAAAAAAAAAACAATCTCGGTATCGTAAAGGTATAATAGAAAAGGATTAAGTAAGTAAGAAATTAATCTACTGGCAGTAACGGTGCTAATGACGTAATATGATGTATATAAATAATCAACCAATGAATTCAATAATATGAAGTCTGTCTAGACCACTAGTTAACCGTTGTTAGCCACGAACCTTCCATTCTCGAACTCGAAGCCTCATTTCACATTGATAGACGAAAACCAAGTAACATGCCCCTCAGGAACTTGGCCGCCTCTCTCAGATTTTCGTATTCAACTCGCGGGAAACAGCCTGATTATTTATTCCATTACATAAACAAAACTGGAATTTACATCAATAATTTGAAATAAATGTATTTGGTAATGAATTTCCTCTTCACTACATTGAGGAAAACAACGAATTACTATAAAATTCAGACGAATTATGAGGAAGCGAAAACCTACGAGATGTAATTAATATGAATTTAATAGGCATATGAAAATATTAAGCACAAATATACCCTACACCATTTCGTAAGGGAAGGTCAACTTATCGCCCTAACCAATCCGTCTTAATGAGGTCTGCAGTCTTCTCCGCTATCATGTAAACTGGCGCCATTGTGTGGCCCGATGGGACAGTTGGCATGATGGAAGCGTCCGACACTCGTAGCTGTTTAACTCCCCTCACACGCAAAGCACGATCCACAACTGCGTCTGGATCAGAATCATTGCCCATTTTGCAGGTCCCCACAGGGTGGAATATTGTAAAAGTCATGTATCGTATGTTACATTCCCAGAAAGCGTCCGAGTCGAACTCGTGGTCTTTGCATGGCAGTATGGTCTTTCTGTAGAGTTCAGCGCCATACTTCTGCAAAGCATCTGTTTTCGTCAACTCGGTCGCTCTTCTGATGCCCTTAATAATGATCTCAATATCCCTGCGATCGGAGAAATAGTTGGCATCAATGAGTGGATGGGTACAAGGATTCTTGTTCTTCAGTAAAATCCTACCACGACTGTGGGGTCGGAGAAGAATGGGGAGAATTGTGAACGCATCTTTGTTATGCAGGGGCAAATAAGATTCAAACAAAATATCCGTTCTCGCCCCCCAAGAATGCCAGCTTATATATGAATTAGGTACAGTTGATCCGAGGAGAAGCAACTCGACTTCCTCTTCGCCGTTAACAAAATCTCCCACATTCTCAAATCCAAGAGCTTCAGTTCCTCCCGGAATTGTAAAAATTCCGTCCCGCTTCAAGAAGTACTCAGCCGCACCCACAAGGTCGTCAACAATCCTATCGAGACGTAAACCAACCGACTGGTTGAGAGTGAAGTACAGGTTACCAAGCGTTACGTGATCCTGAAGATTGTAACCAACCTTAGAATCCTGGATAACTTTAACCCCTACATCTTGGAGGTGATCCCTAGGACCAATCCCAGACAACATGAGCAGCTGTGGAGAATTTATTGTTCCTGCACTGAGGATCACTTCCTTCCTTGCTCGAGCTTGAACGGGTTGTGACTCCCCATTTTTGTACTCTACCCCGTAAGCAACCCGGGTTTTCTCGTCAATAAGGACTTTAGTGACCAGACTGTGTGTCGCGACGTGCAAATTCTTTCTGTTTCTTACAGGCTCAAGGAATGCACGATAAGCACTCCAACGCCTCGCGTCTTTTATTGTGGTCTGCAGATAAGAGTAGCCTATTTCACTGTCTACATTGTAATCCACGTAATTGTATCCTCTCTGGAGACCCGCATTAACAAACGCCTCCGCCAGTTTTGTGCGATGAATAGGATATGTGATTACAAGTTCTCCTTTGGTGGAGTGGTACTTGGTATCATTGGCTAATGATGGGATTGTCATCTGCTCGGACTTCAGAAAATAGGGCAAGATATCATCGTACCCCCATCCCGTGTTCCCTAGAGCCTCCCACCCGTCATAATCTGCGCGAATGCCTCTGGAGTATATCATATAATTGAGAACAGTTGTTCCACCCAGAACTCTTCCTCGAGGCCAATGACAGAGACCAAATTTCGACCCAAAGCAAGACGAATTTGACCTCTCTGTCCTATATTTCCAGTCTGCGGGTGTGTATTCCAAGACAAACGGTATGAGCGGGATATCCTGTATGAAGTTCTCTTCTCCTCCCGCCTCTATTAGCAGCACATTCCAATCCGGAATTTCCGACAGGCGTTTAGCCAATACACACCCCGCAGCACCGCCACCAACAATGATGAAGTCATACTCTGCAGCCTTGAGGAGTCCATGGACGTGTGTGTTCGTCTGTAGGTGGACGAGCAGAACAGTAACCGTGAACAGCGGGGAGATCCTCACAGCACGAAACGGAGAAACCTGAAATAAATATATCATAGATTTGACGAAAGAATTTGAGGAGGCTTTTGGGTCACAATCTTTTCAGAGTTAAAGTAAAGCCAATATTTCGGTACTTGTATGTTATTCCTTAGCGCAGACCAAGTTTTTGTACGTAGCGAAATTATTAGACATAATAAGGACATTTTCCCTAAAATCTGTGCCTAATACAAAACTTCAAAATGGCGTGTTCGCCTACGGGTGTCATCGGTCACAGTGTCTACTGCTTTCTTTGAAATTCTACTGATTGAGTATGTTTCTCACAATGCAGACAATTTGAAACTGGACCCATCACTTTTCTTGCTGGAATCTTCAGTGACGGTCGAAATCAACGGGAAGTGTTCAACAGACTAAAAATACACAACTAAAACACTAAACAGAAATAAGAAATAGGCCTACTCTTCAAGTAAACGTAGAGAGATCTGGGTCAGCTCTCTGTATATTTGTTCTCTCGTGACCGATTTTCTGCATCCAGAATACTTTGACTTTCTGTCTCTTCTCAAATGGCCTTCATGTCTCAAGTTAGGTCGACATGTATCTACTATCATCTATGCTAGCGCTACACGCGGCAGTTTGCTATCGCTGATCCCGACAATGTAATCATCAAAGGTTGTATTGCTCAAAAGAATAATGATAAGCAGTTATCCAATGAATAATGTCCAAATAAATGTGAATTCACTGCATATGCTAATCATTTGAGACTGGGACCTCTTAATATTACCTGACGAGTATTGTTTCAGACACGACACAAAATTAAAGATCAAATGCTCTCACGTTATACAGAATTACACAGAATTAGTGCTTATTAGAGCCAAATACGGTACACGCCATTGAAACTCCAATGAATAAAACACTAATGGTGAAATAAATTATGCCAAAATTCCGTATTATCTCCGACACACTAAAACCTCTCAGAGCGTCAAAGGTTTGACCAGAAAATTTTAAATAATTTACAGTAACGTATCTAGGTGACATTTCGCATAGTTCCTGCCATACTCCAATTATATTTTGTCTTTAAATATCGAAAATTTTCAGGCTTTATTTGGATGAACTAAAGCAGATCGATTGCACTGATGAAGCACTGAAGAAAATGAAATGAAAAACAATGAAAAATAAACCATACTCCAGGCTCACTTCCTCGGCGGTTATTCCAGACTCCTGATACTCGAGTCACTCGTGATACTGAACAGTCGCCGGAGCTACACCCTCTTATACGTATAGGCAGCCTTCGGACGGGATAGGGAATACCTTATCGAAGAGTTAGTTTCATCTGTTGCTTAGGAAATGCTAGCACAGAACACCTTGTAGAAGTGTTTGGTTTCATCCGTCGTTACGCAACGGAACCTCAATTCCTATGCAATGGCCAACTGTAATTGAGTTTCCATAGAAGTATACTTTCGGGTTTCATCCGTTGTTACGCAACGGAACCTATGCAACGGTCTGTTCTAGCGTTACTATGGAAACGACTCCTGGATTCCGAAGTTGTGACATATCTTTACCTGTTTTTACCTGTCACAGGCGTGACATCCAGATAATAGGTATATAAAAACACGCGCGTATTCGAATGCAACGTTCTCTCAAAATTTCGAATCAATCGGTGAAAAACTTTCGGAGATTTTCGATAAGAGACAAACCAACAGTTACGTTTTTATTTATATAGATATGCAGGGTGATTCACATAGTTTACCCCCACTTAGGGAGGGTATTCCTGAGGTAATTTGGAACAAAATTTCTAATATACTAATGCTATCCAACTCATAATTAAAGAGATACAGTAATTTGAAAACTGACGAAAATTTTTCTTTCTTTGAATTTCAGTCAAAACAAATTAGAAATACAATACAAACACTTTTAAATCGTTAATGTTTTAGAAAGAAGCATTCTAAAATCATCTTTCCCCAATTTCTTAATTTTGCATTGTGCAATATTTTTAATTAATTTTGTGTTACAAAATTACATTATTTTCAGCATCCCATTCTGTAAACATACCAATGGTTGCATTTCACACCCTTCTATCAATCTTTTTCCTCTAAACTGTAGTGCTTTAGAAAACGACTGGATTTACGTAAGATTTTTAAAATGTCTACCTGCACGTCAACACAATGCGTTGCACGCGTATGAACCGCTCTGCCTATCTACTTACGCGCAACATTCAAACCGGTATACCTTATCTGCTACCATAGCTGACTGGAACGTATGGTAGCCCACGCTGAAGCATAGCGCTGCATTCACAATGATGCGTTTCGAAAATCTATTGTTACTCCGTAACTATTGAAAATCGACCACAAGTTTATAAGGAAATTTTGCAGGAAATAATCTCAGGAGTATGTACCATAAGCCGGGGTAAAACTTCGTGAATTACCCTGTATATATATATATACATATATACAGTAAAACCTGCCTTAAACGGACCCTTTATTAAACGGAAATCTGTCTTAAACGGAAATAGTTTCAGGTTCCTTTATTTTGGGGCTGGAAAAGATGTTAAATAACCTGGATTAAATGGAAACTGTCTAATGCGGACAACGGAAACCAAAATAAGCCTTTATACGGAAAATTTAAAGTTTTCCTGAATGCATCGTTTAGAATAATTTTAGGCATCCTATACATTCTACAGAATTTTGTTCTCCTTAACTTTTAAAATAAGCTTCTAACGGTACTGCACCACCTGCAATGAGATTCAGCAGAATTGTTTTCCCCTTCTGGAAACTGTATTCAGTAAGGGCTCTAGGCCTACAGTTTTACTTTAGTCTAGCAGTTGTCATCATGGCCACAAAGATAAGAGTTGTGCTTGATCTTAACAGAATATTAAACGTGATTCATGCGAGTGAGCGAGATAAATTGTCTGTTAAGCAGATCATGAAGATGTTTAACGTCGGTAAGACTCAAGTGTATGAGATTCTAAAGAAGAAAACGGAAATTTTGAAGCGGTGGGAAACTTGTGCTAATGGAAAAATAAAAAGAGAAGTTAAGAAAACTGCAAACGAAGACGTGAATGAAATAGTGTGGGAGTGGTTTGTCAGTGTGAGGGCCAAAAATCACCGGTTGTCGGGTCCTATGATACAGGAATATGCTAAAAAGTCGCTGAAAAACTGGGGAAGACTGAATTCAAAGCATCTAACGGATGGTTGGAGAGTTTTCGCAAAAGACATCGGACAGTTTTTAATGAACTTTGTGGTGAATCAGGTGATGTAAATAGTGAGACCATTGAGGAATGGGAAGCTAAATTGCCATCCATAATCGATGAATATGAACCTGAAAACATAGCGAACGGTGATGAGACTGGACTGTTCTTCCGCGCGCTTCGGAATAAATCGCTATGTCTGAAAGGTGAAAAATGTTTGGGAGGAAAACTGTGCAAAGAAGGATTGACTGTTTTTCTATGTGGTTTTATGTCAGGTGAAATGGAGAAAACCTTAGTGATTGGCAAGGCAACAAAGCCACGATGCTTCCGAAACATGGACATACAGAAACTTCCTGTTGAGTGGAGATCCAACAGAAAGGATTGGATGACGTCACAGATCATGGAGGAATCGTTAACGGCCTTCAATGGTAGAATGAAAATGCAAAACCGGTATGTTTTGTTGTTCTTGGATAACGCAACATGATACCCCCATATCGAACTTTCCAACGTGCGACTTGCTTTGTTCCCTCCAAACACCACTAGTGTTTCTCAACCAATGGATCAGGGCACCAGTCGGAATGTTAAGGTCCACTATCGTAAATTATTAATGCAATCTTTGCTCGTCAATATAGATTCTACATCATCCGCCTCTGAACTTGCAAGAACTGTCTCGCTTCCAGATGCGGTTATTTGGATAAGTCAAGCAGTAAAGGAGTTGTTACCAGAAACTGAGACATAGTGTTTCGAAAAAGCAGGATTTTCTACGGTAGAAGTTACTCCTAGTGTAGAAAATGAGAATGACCAGAAGGACTTACAACATTGCATGAATGAAGCTGCTTTCAGTAACTGCAGTGCTGAGGACTGCATCAACATAGACAAAGATGTGCAAACAGAACCAGACACAATGGATATCGATGTATTAGTTGAGAATTTTAGAGAAAATCGAAAAGGAAGAGAGGAGGAGGAGGAAGAGGAAGAAGAGAAAAACGACATTGTGATAGGAGAAGAAAAGTGTTGAGTGAAGACTTATCAGGAAGCTGCCAACAGTTTAAAGGTACTGAAGGAGTTTGCCGTGCAACGGAATGATTCAGACATGCTTACTCTAATTTCTCAAGCTAAAGTGTTTGTGGAAAGTCAGGCAGCCAAGAGAGTAAACTGCGTGCAAAAAACTCTGACGGAGCTCTTGTAAAATTATAAAAAGTGAGTACTGCAATTTTTTCCTGTTCAGTGTAATGTTTGCATTGTTCAATGATTATAGTGTGAATAATATTACGCCGTGGTGACAGGGGGCGTGGAGATATCCCTCCTTGCCACCACATCTTACGCTGTAAGGGGTTAACAAAATAATCATAGATTACCCTCAGCTAGGATTCTCCTGGTTCTGGACTTCCTTCGTTGCATACAGCTGCCACCATCTATTACATCTTAAAAAGGGGTGATGAAAGTACTGATGGCCGGTAACGCGGTGGTCGAGCGTTCTCTTTTGGCTGGCCCTTTCATCACTGTCACTTCTTATTATTGGCGTAGAGCGGGCGTGTCGGGTCTGACCCGCCTCTACATATCGACTGTCATACCATATATTATCCTCTACGACAGGGGTGGACTGGAAATCTCACCACTGTCGCCAATTATGTCTTAGTGACGGGGGTCGGTTAAAACACACTAAATCGCTTTGTCTGCCATTTCTCTTTGTCTAGTCCCTTCGCTACCTCAGTCAACCCTTCGTTGACTCGTCCTACCGCCGTTGCCATAAGTAATGCTTCAATGTAAGGGTTGAGAAAAATACAGTTACTCTTTCTCTACGTCAGCCACTTTGCGTTGGCCGATCCTCACCTCTGCCATCACTTTGTTATACCTAAAGGGGCTAATAAAATATTATTACTTTAGTCCGTCGTCACCCCTTCCGTTAGGATGTTCGTTGCATTCGGCTGCCGTCAACTGCCTGGGGTCAGTTCTAGCTTCGCTTTGGTAGGATCGCTCTGGATCGGTTGTGGACGGGTTGGTTCGGGGAAGTAAATCAAAACTCCCTTGGTACATCCTACCCTAAGTATATTGATCTATTTACATTGTTATTTACAATAAAAGAATGCCGAAGTCTCTCGGTTTACACTTGGTCTCGAGGCGTGATAGTTCTGACTCCGTTCGGGTGTCTCGCCTGGTGCAGCAGGCTTGAGACTGCCACTTTCTTCATTACCATTACTCGACACGCCATCCCTGTCCTACCCTAGGTCCCTGATCTATTTACACTTTGATTTGTATTCTATTTACAATATTAACAATACTGACTCTCGGTCGGGACTTACATAGTGCTTCTTTTTATTTTTTAATTACTACTAGTACATACGACACCGCACGCAAGTAAACTACACAACTAACAATAAGAACATCCAAGAGAAATAATCGACATCTTCTACGATCCGGAAGAAAAAACAACATGACCCAATGCTGGTTCATGAGTTTTAACATAATAACTAATTTTTACATACAAAAGATTAAAATTTTAAATACATAGGGAAGCTATTTTATGGAAAAGTGAACATCACATTGCGTGCAGTGGGAAACCCCAATCGAATACCCAGCAAATACGCTTAAACGAAACATCACACGTAAATCTACACGTCAACGTGGCTGCATAGGGCAATCTGTGATATAGTGAGCACAATTCATAACCTAAGTGCAAATGTTAAAACATCTTATGTGACAGTGTTTCCTGCTCGTAGTGGTGCGCCTCTGAAGATGATCCTTTTGAATCGAGACATGTAAGGCGGAATAAAGACTGAAGTGTTGTAAACCTTTATGTCATACTGGACTGAAAGTTATCTACTTTGTAACTTACATAGTGCCTTTACCGCACCACGCTATGCTTCAGCATGATCTCCCCTTCTGCGGTGTAGGACTTGAGTCTGTCTGTCTCTTTCTCTCTACTCCTTCGACTCATTTCACAATTATCCACTTCCCCTTAAATTATTTTTCTCCTAAACCCATACATCTACAGCCTACGTCTGTGTTTATCACAAATCAAGGGTCACAACTATGAGTAACAAATGGGCGTTCTCTGCACACTACTAGTTATGGTAACATACTATCTAACGTCTACCATCTTTACTACACTAGCACCACAGTCATCACTCGTTACATTATTTGTCGTATTCTACCCTAAGGGCTCGCTGGGCACACTGAACATTGCTTTCACATTTAACAAACAACAATTTACCAACAACCACAAAGTTTAACAGCATGGCTAGTATGAGTAAACATGACTTACTTGAGATAAGAGACGCAGGCTAGACATCACCACTTGTAAGACCCATGTCGAATAGAGCCTCCGGCTGACTACTCGTCATTACGTTTAGATCGGATCCCCATTGTGTTTTTTTCTCATTTTTATACACTAATTTTGCTGGCGCTGCAGTTGACGAAAGAGGGGAGTTAACAACTCCCCTTGTTCTACATTTCGGGGTGGAGGGTTTCCATTGGCTAACCCCTACGGTGGCGGGCGGGTCCGTGGTACTTCATCGCTGCGTATTTGATAAATTCATTATACTCCCGTAACCCACTTAACGGAGCTTCCTACTTATGCGATTACGCATAAATGCTGATCATCAACATTCTTAACCTAGATCCCTAGTCCATGTGTTGTCATCTTTGCTCGATTGCTGTAAAACGCTTTTCGCAAGTCTCGAAACCTTTAGGCAATGTCTTTTGATTTTCAGTCTCGAAATTGCGGCACAACAAATAAATTAATGAGCATGTTGTTTTGTTTTGTCTCAAATACGTTTATGTCTTGGTTTAGTTATTATGGTATACCTTGATTAAACGGAAACCTGGCTTCAGCGGATTTTTTTTTCTGGTCCCTTGAGATTCCGTTTAAGGCAGGTTTTACTGTATTAAAATTGTGCAGGGATAATGCAGAATGTACTTATGTTAATTAAGGTCAATTACTTATAACCTGGGTGCAAGCGGTAACGTAGTGGTTGAGGCACTATGCTACAAGCCGGAAGGTCACCGGTTGAAATCCCGATGGGGTCATTGGATTTGTTTTTAGTTGACCTAATCCTTCCAGCCGCACTATGGCCCTGGGGTCGACTCAGCCTATAACAGAACTGAGTACCTGGAATTAATTAAATAATTTTCCTCGGGAGTAAAGCACGGCGGGCGCGTAAGGCTGACAACCTTACCGCCATCTTTGAGTCGATTGTCTAGATAATGCGGGACCCTCAACGTCTCACTACCTTATGGGCTTTCGCGGCCTGTTACAAGGATAGCTTTACCTATTTTTCTACTTATAACCTATAGGTTATAAGCAGGGCCCGGAATTTTATGACATAAATATTTTTAAAATACACGTAAGCTATAAAATGACCGAAAAAAATCCAGAAAAATGATCTATAAAATGATCGAAAAACCGCAGAAAATGACCTAAACATTAAGGAACAACATAAAATGTATCATGTCATGGAAAATCTACTGATTTAAAATGTACTTTTCATCTTTATTAAGCAATAGCCCTATGAGGTCATTGTATTCTTTCAATTGACCTAATCCTTCTAGCTGCATTGTGGCCCAGGGGTCGACTCAGTCGACAGAAATGAGTACGAGGAATATTCCTGGGGGTAAAGGGCGGCCGGCGCTTAAGGCCGACAACCTCACCGCCATATCGGAGCCTATTGTCTAGAAAATTTGAGAGCCTCAACTTCTCACAAGCCTATGGGCCTCCACGGTCTGTTACAGGGATAGCTTTACTTACATATTTTATATGATCGAATTTGAAACTAAATGTTGTAATACTATTTTTTTCTACCGTGTTAGAACGCTTATCAAAAGTACATATGCGATATATATTGCAATATTTAAGTGTCACCTCATTCAGAGTTGCAATAGATGACAGTCAATATGCGCAGATTCTCGAAGGTGAGTGAGACGCACTCACTTCTCCAAGGAAGTACACGGAGTCACAACACGAGGGGCAGTTGCTCCCCGAAGGACGTACAAGGAATTACATCGCAATACGCAGTCACTTCTCCAAGGAAGTACACGGAATCACATCGCCAGACGGAGTTGCCCCCCAAAGGACGTACAAGGAGTCACGTCGCCAGGCGCAGACACTACTACAAGGGCGTACATGGAATTACGTCGCGAGATGCAGTTATTACCCCAAGGAAGTGTACGGAGTCACATTGCGAGACTAAGTCACTACTGCAAGGTGTAAACAGAGTTATGTACAGCAGAAATTATAATTCACTTAGTTATCAGCTTAAGCTACATAGGAATGAAAGGTCGGAATACCTTTGATATCCCAAATACCCCCAAATTTTTAAATAATTTCCCTTTCAGCATTGATATCTAACATGAAAACCCACTCAAACTGGAATGAAGGCCAACATTTTATCTTTTGTCATGTAAACGTAAGAAACATATCCTCTTATCCTAGTTGCTGGTGTTAAGATGTTATTTGAAGTTTCTACAGCCATAAAAATGAACAGTATTCCTGCCATATTCCGGGATTTGACGCCGTGTACATTGTTAGAAATTAACTGACTTTCATGTGCATTTATTGCTTCCATCTTCAGGGTCGAAGAGGAGGCCAAGCAAGTAATTAGCAACTTGACCCAACGTTGAGAAAAGGGCAGTAAGGTCCTCCGAAACACCGGTGCACACTTACTGCTCTATAACATCTGCATATTCAGGAAGCTAGACGAGGGCAAGTGAGAACAAAGTGCAAAGAGTTTACTGAGCCGGAAGACAGGAGAAGTAACATGAGAATGCATTGTGTGGTGACTAATAACTTCCTGCATGAAGCCAAGCGATATACCCATATGGTATGCGAATCGCCGAAACTATATCACTAGAATGTTTCCTGTAACAGCATCGGAAAATAAAATATCACAGCCATATCAAACTTCGTCACAATAACACAAAATTATCAGACATTTTCATGGAACACCCCACTGGCGTTGTAGTTCTTAAAACAATTTCAATTTTCCTATTGCCTGGGAACAGAGGTACGCCAGTCGGTACAGCGACGGGCTACCGGCTGGAAGCCCAAAATCGATTCCCAGCAAAGCAAGATTTATCTCTTTTCCACAGAGTCCAGACAGGAACTCCATCACACCCAGAATCCTATTCAGAGGTTACGGGGATCTTTCCTCAGGCGGAAAGCGACAGAGACGTAAAGCTGACTACTTAACTCTAACTACAACCAAGGTCAAGAATACGTAATCTATACCTCCACTCCCTCATATGCCTTCATGGCAAAGTGTTTAATTATTTAAGAACAGGAACATAAACTTACCTTGGCTTGTTGACATGTTGAGGCCCGTCGCAATTATTGCCCATGGCATGACGAAAGAGCCACTAAATGTAATATTAATTTATCTTGAAGGACAATATAACGCGCTACAGAGACTGGTTGTCTTGTGCTTTTAAGCGATTAATTCCTTTTAAAGAACTCACCATCTCTATAGGAGATCAAACTATCTCCCAGCTCCTCTTCATCAGAATCCAAGTCTCTTGGAAGGCTTGTCTTGTACTATTTTGAGTGCACTGACCACCTTTTAACAAAGGCTCTCCTTACATTCATCCAATATGCGGGCAAGATGCGTTGCTTCTGAGGTTTCATCAGAAATAAAATTGACATAAATTTGTCTCCAAGAAGCAGAATGGAACAGTCTGACACTTAACCTTCATCAATAGCCTCATCTAAAACATGAATTGTAATAGCAATACGTGACAAAATTAGCACATTTTACCCTTCCCTAATGCTTCAAATTATTACCAAGGAAGAACTCTCAGAATTTGGTCTCGTTCCAAGAGTAGCAGTAGTTTAGCATGTCCACACACCAATCTTCTAATCATGAAAGCTTGCCCAACACCGCTCCAGCACTTTAATATTAATGCCCTTTTTTAAGCACTCAGGTGGAAACAAGCTTCAGCGAAAATAAAAAAAAAGTATAACACAGTCAAATATTGCCCGCAGAATCCAAGTTATGTAATGCGTGTTTTCTCGTAACTGCCAAGTTTAATGGCCTGAACCGGTCCAAAATTACATGGGAGTAGAATAACCTTCTAGTTGCTAATTAATCTATTGTGGTCAAAAGCTGTCTGTTGAGTCTCTCGGAGATCTGCGAGACGTGAGCAGTTACGGTGTCTAAATACGCTTTCCGAAGACACCAGTTTACCTTCAACCTATTTACTCGTACATAAGCCGAGAGACTCCCCCACTCCATCATAAGAAAAAAGGTCATTGGTTCAAATCAGTCCGTCGTTGAGAAATTGTGACCAAGCTGTTGAGCTGGGTGGTTGCTCTGACCTTGGTTATGACACCCTGAAACTGCTAGACGATAATTTTTCTAATTCCCGACCTTGGTTGCAAGTTCGGGTTTTTCTTGTTTTCACTCAGTTTACTTTTAATTATACCCTCTTCCCTTACGACACGTCCAAACGTAACTCACATATCTAGTCCCGTCGTAAAAAAAAGGGTAAAGCTATCCCTGTAACAGGCCGTGAAGGCCTATAGGATTGTGAGATATTGAGGGTCCCACATTATCTAGACAATCGGCTCAAAGATGGCGGTGAGGTTGTCAGCCCTATGAGCCTGCCGCCCTTTACCCCCAGGAAGATTCCTGATTCTCATTTCTTTTAGAGGCTGAGTCGATCCCAGGACCATAGTGAGGCCAAATGACCAATGACCTCATCGGGACTTGAATCCGCGACCTTCCGGCTTGTAGCATAGTGCCTCAATCAACTACGCTACGGCGTGTCCCTTATATTACATTATTCATTGTAATTATTTTTTGCTTTCCGGCGTTGCCTTTGCTTCGGACGCGGCGCAATTTCAAAGCACACAGAAGTTAGAGGCACGTTTTTGTGTTATACTCGTATAACATACCTTGTGTGTCACTGCACCGATAAATTGTAGGTTTATTTTGTGTTTGTTCAACACTAACAGGGAGTCATTTCTAACGCAACCATCTGCTGGTTATATCCTTCATTGCCGCCACCACCACACACATACGTACATATCAGCTCCAATTTCCCCTAGCTTCTCGTGAGCACAGTTTGCCAACGCTGTTCCTCCCGTCCGTGACATACGTGTCCCCTGGGTAGTGCAAAATGAGCAACAGATCTGGCAAAGCTTCCCAAAATAAAAGTGCAAACTTCTTCAAGATGCAACAAAGCAAGAACTTGAGTGCTCTCTATTGGGAAGCAAGAAGCAAAATGGGTTATGTGATCCCAAATGCAGAAATTGGAAATCAACCAACCAGAATTCCTTGTTTACGTTCGGCCCAGTTGAACGCATTTCTCTCACCAAATTCCAAAACTCCTTAATAAAACCGGAACACAAACACAAGGAGGTTTAGGGGGGAACTTTCTTTACACAACACAGCTATATGAATTATATTTCACATAATTATCGCCTCGAAATCCCATAGAGGATCGATAGCTCAGTCGGTCTTCAAATGTCTTCTCCTGCATCTCGTCCAGACCGGGTCTGGGGCCCACCCAGCCTCCTATCCAATGGTTACCGGGGACTCTTTCCTTGGAGTTAAAGCGGCCAGAGGGTGAAGCTGACTACTGATGCAAACGGCATTGGAGGCAGCGCTACGAGCTCAGTAAACAGCTGCAAGACCTAAGCATAGATGTGGCCCTGTTTTCAGAGACAAATCTGAAACCTCATGAGAGATTTTTTCTTCCAAATTGCCACATTTATAGAACCGACTGCCATTCAGGCAGAAAAGGCGGAACTACCGTTGCAGTTAGAAAAGGCATTGCCCATAACCACGTAGACCTACCACCCCTTTTTTCAGTAGAAGCGACAGGGATCTGCATACCCATTGGTAACAGGTGAAGTTCTTATTTTAATTTTATGCATCCTGCCGTGTTACAATATATACAACTTCTTTATTTGACCGTCATAACACAGCAAATATAGAACTTCAAGGACAATGCTCAGTATAGTTCTGCTACATGTTTCGGCCACGAGTGGCCATCATCATGCAAACACACATCAACAATCATACACCATTGAACTGCAGTACGTAAAATTTGATACAATGTTATAAATCATTTAAGTTAATTTGCACAAGAATACAATAAGTAAGTCATTTAAAGCAATAACAAGTCATACATAAACTTAAAATTTGATTGATGTTTAGTAACATCGAATCGGTCGTTGGTTTTACTTTTCATGCATTTCTGTGGACTTAACATCAATCAGATTTTAATTTTATATATGACTTGTTATTGTTTTAAATAACTTACTTATTGTATTCTTGTGCAAATTAACTTAAATGATTTATAACATTGTATCAAATTTTACGTACTGCAGTTCAATGGTGTACGATTGTTGAAGTGTGTTTGCCTGATGATGACCACTTGTGGCCGAAACATATAGCAGAACTATACTGAGCATTGTCTTTTTTAAGTTCTTTATTTGCTGTGTTGTGACGGTCAAATAAAGAGGTTGTATAAAGTGAAATTCTACTTGCAGCTGATTTTAAATCCCCAGGCAGGACCTGGAGTGATGTTGACATCACTGAGCTCTTAAGCTTTAGACGTAAGTCTATTTTGGCAGGTGATTTGAATGCTAAGCACCCATTTTGGAACAGCAGAGTTTCAAACCCCTCAGGCGAGAAACTCGTGGATTTATTTGATATGACAGAATTCCAAATTTCAGCACCACAGTGCCCCACTCACCATTCCCCTGCGGGAAATGGTGACGTGCTGGACATTGTGGTTCACAAAAATATCAGAGCGTCAGATGTCTTCGTCTCTGATATTTTGGATTCAGATCACCTACCAATAGTATTCCACATACTGGATCACATTAAAATTAGGAATCTTTCGGAACTTATTTACAGATTGGAAGCGGTTTCAAAGCCTCGCTTCTGAGTAAATATCACCTAAACTAGAAATTAAGTCCGGGTTAGAAGCCGATAAAGCGGCGCGCGACTTTGCAGCCTCTATTCCTTCGGCATACAGGTTGTCCACAAGAAAAGTTACACTTTCGGACATAAACAACGATCTTCCTGGTCTAGGACGCCTGTTATAACATAAGCAGGGGCTATGAAAATTGTGGCAAAAAACCAGGGATCCAGCGTGTAAGACGGCACTAAATTGGGTCACAAAAATCAATCAGGCAAATGACCCGAAAAAAGGCACTTGAACGGTGGGAAACAAATATGCGTAATGCTGAAGGCACACCTCAGGGTATATGGCCAATTGCGAAATCCCTCCTAAAGAGGGATGGACCAAGGGCACCAACTGCTATTCATGGTGCTGCAGGCCTTAAATTTCACCCATTCGAAAAAGCCAATGCAATTGCTGATTGTTTGGAAAATCAGTTCACGCCATATGACCTGTGCGACGATAACCATGATCGGCGGGTGGAGGCTNCGTAAAATCTACGTCCGATCAGCCTCCTGTCTACGACAGGAAAACTATTCGAAAAAGTAATTTTGAAATTGCTCCGTAAACATATTGAAGAAAGAGGTCTGCTCAACGCAAGTCAGTTTGGTTTTCGTGCACGTCACAGCACGACATTGCAATGTATGAGGCTGGCGGACCATGTGACCCTTAATTTCAACAATAAAATTCTGCGTCTGCAGTGTTTTTGAACATTGAAAAAGCCTTTGTTACCAAGTGGCACTTAGGCTTGCTGTATAAGTTATCAAAATTGGAATTCCCGAACAGTTTGACCAAGCTTATTGGGTTCTTTCTTTCTCAACGTAAATTCAGGGTCTCGGTTGAAGGCGAAATATCAACCCCAAGGGAAAAGCAAGCAAGGGTGCCACAAGGTTCAGTCCTTTCACCTACTCTTCTCAATTTGTACATAAATGATGCCCCCCAAACACATGGTGTTCACCTGGCCCTCTTTGCGGACGACACCTGTCTGCATGCGACAGATGGCAAGGAGAGTTTTATGGTTAGAAAACTCCAGCGCGCTCTCAGCTCAATAGAGATCTGGTGTGAGCGCTGGAATATAAAAATTAATGATGATAAGCCTCAGGGGGTCTAATTCTCTCGTTCCTCGTTCACAACGCATAGGAAGCATCTGACCATAAGCATATACAACCTCAAGCTGACTTCTCCCATCTTCGGGATGAATTAACAAGGAGGAGCCTAACATTTTACTTCAAATGTTTTAAACTTTTAAATATTTTAACATTGACGGTTTAGTTGAGGGTAATTTCGGATGGAATGCGAGACTTGAACGTGCATTCAATATTCCTAGTAAGTGTTGTGCTTTTACACATCGACAACTGTAGCAGCGTCCACGCAGCATATACTGTGTACATTTAAACAACGCCAGTGTTTTCATGTGTTTGTAATATATGCCTCTGATGATGGTTTTTATTAAACCGAAACATGTAAGGCAAATGTGATAAAGAAGTGACCTAAAAACATTGTTACACTCGACGGACCTTCTATTGACTTTTCGAGTGAAATAAATTCGCTACATCCAATAAGGCGTGAATTTATTTGTCGCGTTATACACTAAACACGTTACAATACATACTAGATATTAAGATTCAATTGTAAATAAGTGTACGTAGTGACAATGGGCTAATACTGTCGACTATGACTGACAAATGACAGACCCGACCTCTCGCCAGAGAGGAAGCCCCACACGGACAGGACAGTAA